TTCCTGGGTCCAGAGAAGACAGGTTCCTGCTCTCCATGCCTATGAATTCCCATGGGATTTCTCTCTCTCTCTCTCTCTCTCTCTCTCTCTCTCTCCCTCTCTCCCTCTCTCTCTCTCTCCCTCCCTCCCTCCCTCCTTCCCTCCCCACACCCATATCCCAGCCCCAGGGACCAGCTTGCCCACAGCTGGCAGCCCCTAAAAGGGAATAAGAGAGGGAGGAAGGTGAGAGTCAGCCCTCATTTTAAAGTCTCCACCCACGCGTTCTCCCAGGCTCTCTCCAGCTCCATCAGTGATTGTGGGACATCTTGTGCAAGTAGCCACTAGACAGCTGATGTTTTGTAGGAGAGGGCTAAGGCCCAGAGAAATAAACACTGGGTCTGGAGTCAGAGAGCTCTGAATATGAATTCAAGTCATTTGACCTCTCTCAGCCTCAGTTTCCTCATCTGAAAATGAGGATCCTCAGAACTTCCTCAAAGATGGGCCCTTTCCCCAATTCCCATCTGCCCTCCTACGAAGACAGTGATACAATCTAGTAGCACGCTATATTTTCCCTTCGCTGTTGGCAATTAGCATACACTTTAAAGAAACACAGCCTGTGATAACAGCTAACAAGCTGAGGGCTTTCAAGTGCCTGGCATGATTCTTAAGTCATTCAATCCACAGAATATCCCTATGATATACGAATAGGCACTGTTGTTATCCCCCTGTCCAAATGAGGAAACGGAGGCCCGGAAGGGTCAAGGTACTGCTCGTTAAGTGGCAGCATTAGGATACAAACTCAGGCCCGTCTGACTCTGAAGCCCTGTTGTCCACCCTGCTTTCTGTTTCTTTCTTCCTGATAAATGGGCATTTGTGGTGATGAAAGAACCTGGCACTTGTTTGACAAACCATTTGGCAGGAACCCACTGGCACCCACAGGGGTCAAGAGCTCCGAAGAATGGCTAGGGCCACCTAAGGGTTTGAGGGTTTTCACAGGCAGGATTTCAGAGACAATGGGGGCGCATTCCAACATCTTGGGAACATCCCAGCTGGCTTCTTTGAAGCCAGCCTGCTACCATTTACTCAGCATGATAAGTCCCTATTTTAAAATTTGCATACTGAGGATGCATCAGAATCAATATGGCTTCCTGTTCTAAGTCACAAAAATCTGGCCTACACTGTTTGGAAAAGCAAAGAAGAAAGTGGAGGCTCGACTCGTGTGAGGCATGGAGGAATAGAGAGAAGGCATTGAGACTCAGCTCCAGGCTCCTGAAAATACCTTGAGTTTCCGAGCTGTCACATCGTCACCCACGTTCTGCATTCCACCTTCAGTGCCCACTCCCTCCTCACCATCAGTCAAACCTTATCCATCTCAGCTGAAACCCTGACCACCCCTGCCCAAAGGTGGTGTATTTCTCAAAACTCTGACAGCACTAATTGTCACCACCATCCACATGGCATCTAGCCTGGTGCTGGCTTCCCTGCATCAGCCTTGTCTCCCCCAAGCAATCAGTGAATTCCTTGGGAGCAGAGCGCGTGTTTCCTGCCTCACTATATATATCTCTTTAACAGGACACAGCAGCACCACCCACACCTCCCACTCTCCCCAACACCCACTTGCATTTTCAGCCCAAACAGACCTCTCCGTGTTTTCCTCATGTGCCCACCTACCTGCATTTGCACATGCTGTTCCTCACCCATGAATGCCCTTTCTTCCCCATCTCTGCCCCTCCAAATCCTACCTTTCCCCCAAGGCCTAGCATGATACAGTAGGAACAGCAATTTGCAACTCAGAAAAGCCTGCATTTAAATCCTGGCTTCGCCACTTCCTGGCTGTTTGACCCAGACAAACGACTCTGCCTCTTTGCGCTTCTGTTTCCTCATTTGTGACATGAAGGGTTGATAACAGCTACCACGCAGGGCTGTGGTAAAAATTCAATGGGGGAGATCACGAAGAAACTTGAGGAATAAGTTCGTGTCAATGAATTTGAAAAAACTTCAATGAAACGGACAAATTCCTAGACAAAATTGACTTCCTAAAAGTGGCTTGAAAAAATAGAAAGCTTCAATAGTCCTTTGCTCCTTTAAATAAAGTGAATTAAAAGTTTATATTTTTCCCATAAAGAAAAAAACAGAAAAAGGTTGTTGTACAGGTGAATTCTATCAAACTCTTAAGGAACCAATTATTCCAATCTTCCATGATAAGGAAAAAAGAGATGTCAGTGATTTTTATAAGGCTAATAGAATTTTGATACCAAAAAACAAAGATAGTACCAAAAAAAATTACAGGCCAGTTCTACTCGGGAATACAGCTTTCAAATCCTGATACTAAATCCAACAATACATAAAAAA